TGCCATATCTGCTACTTCACATAGACGGGGGCGAAATCCTCGCGAGTCTAGGTCAAGAATGTATCGTACGATAGTTTGCTCTTCAGATTTAGTTAGCTTCTGGCAATTTGGCTGCGTCGTAGGTCGAAAGGTGATTCCTTGAAGCCGCCGAGAGATCTGCTGATGATGGACGTTATAGGCTGCTGCAGCGCGTCGAATGCTCTTAAACTGGCCTGTACGATAGGCCTGAACTGCTAGAGTAAGCCTACCCTCTTGCTGAGTAAATATCACGTTCTGTTGTTGAGGCATTGTCTTTCGTACGTGAAGTTCGCGATGCCAAGAAAAAGTGGCACTCTCGGTGGGGTGGCACTCTCGGTGGTGGAATACGTTATATAGTTATGCTATTTAGGCTTACAAACGCCCTAGCGACATTCTAGGAACTTATTAATAATGTACTTAGGCTATACCTAGACATATTTGTTATTGCCTACCTAGACGACATCCTTATCTATTTAGAAGATGAGAAGGATCACATTAAACATGTAACAAAAGTACTTAAGGCTCTAGACGAACACAACTTTAGACTTAAGCTAAAGAAGTGTGAATTCTACAAGACTAAGGTCGACTTCTTAGGCTACATAGTAGGAGTTAATGGAGTACAAATGAGCGAAGAGAAGATTTAAGTTATTAAAGACTAGCCAACACCAACTATAGTTACAGAAATCTAATTATTCTTAGGATTTGTAAACTTTAACTAACAATTTATTTAGGACTTTTTGAAGATTGCGATACTAGTAACACGACTTACGCAGAAAGATACGCCATTTGTGTGGAGCAAAGAAGCAGACAAAGCCTTTAACAAGCTTAAGACAGCATGTGTCACACCACCATGTCTTAGAATATTTACACTAGGCATACTAATAAAGATCGAAACTAACGCATTAGATCTAGCCCTAGGAGGCTGTGCGAGCATACTCATCAGCGACAAGTGGCACCTAGTAGCATACTACTCAAGGAAGTTCTTAGGACTAGAAGAACGATACGATGTACATAACAAGGAATTACTAGCTATTGTAGCATGTCTGCAGCACTAGAGAGTATACGCAGAAAGCTGTTCAGAACTCACGATCTATACAGACTATAAGAACCTAGTACACTTCATAATAACAAAGGTACTTAACTAAAGATAGACTAGATAGGCCAAACTATTAGAACAATACAAGTTTAAAATCGTCTACACACTAAGAAAAGAAAATAGAAGAGCTAACGCTCTTAGCTAACAACACAATATCGCAGGAACTAAGACAATAGTTAACAAACCTATACTCAAGACTAACAGAGATGGATCCCTAGGACCTGTATATAAACTTAACATTATTATGAAAATTAGGAACGATATACCTAAAGAAGTATAAAACACTATTATTAAAGAACACCACAATAATCCTGTACACAGACATCTAGGAATCACCAGGACTATAGAACTAATTTAGCGTAACTACTAATTTAAAGGAATAAAAGACAAAGTTATAGCGTACATCGCCAAATGCGCAGAATGCTAAAAGAACAAGCATAGCACGCATGCACTATACGGAGAAATGCAAGCTTTAGAGCTACCACAAGAACTATAGGCAGACATCTCTATAGACTTTGTTATAGGATTACTAGCATCAAAGGATCTAACGACTAAGGTTACCTACAACGCAATACTTGTTGTAGTGGATCGCTTCACAAAACAAGCAGAGTATATCCTATTTAGGAACGACTACACAGCAGTGGACCTAGCACACATTATCCACGACAGAATTATCTAACACCACAGAATACCAAAGTCAATTATTAGCGATAGAGACAAGCTATTCACATCCAACTTTTGGACGACACTACTCGCAGCAATTGGAACTAAGAGGAAGCTATTGACAGCTTACTATCCACAAACCAACAGACAAACAGAACGAACAAACTAAACAATGAAGACATATCTTAGGATTTACGTTAATCATTAGCAAGACAATTAGGTATAACTACTACCTATAGCATAGATAGCATACAACAACAAAACATTAGAAGCAATAGGCAAAACACCGTTTTACGCCAACTACGGACGACATCTAAACCTCTTTACTAGAACATATCTAAGTCTAAAGACAGAAGCAGCTATTGCAACAGCCAAACAACTTAAGAAAATCTATAAAGAACTACGAGAATTACTTAAATAGGCTTAACGCTAAAGCATTTCCTATTAGAATAAGAAAAGAAAAATAGCACCTTAGCTAAAGAAGGGGGATAAAGTATATCTACTTACAAAAAACCTTTGCATAAAATAACCTAGCAAGGGACTAGATAACGTTAAGGTCAGACTATTTTTAATTTTAAAACAAAACGGACTAGTTACATATACACTCGACCTGCCAGCTGACGCGAAGATACACCTAAGATTCCACATACGCCTATTAGAACTAGCAGACCCTAAAACGCTACTATAGAAAACATTCTATTATAAACCTAAGGAAGAAGACGAGTTTAAAGTTAAAAAAATTATTGCACACTAAAACAAAAACAACGAAATAGAATACCTAATTAAGTAGTTAGAATACTTAGATAGCGAGAATACATAGGAACGAGAAACAAACCTTACGAACTGCCGCTAGCGCCTGGCATAGTATTACTAACATCCTATAGAAAAGACTAATCTACAGTAGCCGCGCCTAAAGGAGCCTCTAGGTTTACTAACGCAACCTTAGAGTTAAACTCCTCCAACTTCTTAAGGGCCTCTAACTCCTTAACTATAGCTAAACTATAATTAAACATCTCCTGCTCCTTACGACGCAACAATTTCTTTTATTTTCAAAGCCGCGAAAGCTTCTCCCGCGCCTACCGCGCACGCGATAAGGCCGCCTCGGCCATATCCTCCTCAACACGAAGACGAGCCTCTTCCTTATCTTCTAACTGCTCTAGACGAGACATTTCCTTATTAATTTTTAAAAAATTAGGTAACAGTTAATTCTCTAGTTTACAACTTATATAGTTCGCACGAACATAGTTTACACACTTTTAGTTAAGAGAAGATATCTTGCAAGGCAACCACTTCCTCAAATAACAAGAACAAGAAACTATAGTAAGGACCCTAGTGGACTTAATGCAGTTAGCAAGATAATGACGGAACTAAGCGGAACGAGAAAGTGGAAGAGAACTCATTAAGAACACAATGCGCACCTAGATAACGCGGGGCAAGCCTAGTTATAGCGCGCCACTACGCTAAACTCTAATTAAGTTAGCGTAACAAACACCACACCCTTAGAACGCGGTGCTTGTTAGACTAAACCCGTTATAGATAGAAGTATCTATCCCTAAGCGTTCCTAGAAACTAAGCGTTCTTAGAAACCTACCGCTCCTAAGAACGAAACGCTCCTAGAAACCCTTAGCTTCTAGGAGGACGGCGCTTGCACGAACGCCACGTTAATAGCAACCCCTTATTTACAATAACCTACCTTTCCTAACACTAACTTACTTCTATAAACACCCTAATTACGACAACTACATAATCGCAGCAACATACCTCTCCTAAAAACCTAGGCCACACATTGCCTTAAGGACGAGTTATAAGAGGAGGAGGATAGTGTTACGACTAGCCTTAGAATGTAGAGGACATTTCGCTGTTAGATTTGTTTTACAGGTAATCTAAGAGACAGCGGGAATGTAGCAAGAAAAGGAATCACGTGACGAGTCCTATAGATCCTACTTAGCCTTGGCATGCTTTATGCACTAGGACTTACTAGGACCACGTGACTAGTCCTACCGATCCCTGTAGTCCTATAACCCCTCGTTACTACTAGGACTACTAGGACACTAGGACTACACAAGTATATAGCATTAGGCATTAAGCCCTTATAGCTTGATGTGTTTAACTTAAGTTTTGAGTATAAGTATAATATAGAGAGTTATTCTACTTGCCTAAAGTAACTATCCTCTTGCACATTGCCGCTCTATTTGCGAAAACTAACCAACAAGAAGATCAATACCAGAAGTCTTATATTACTTCCACTTGATCTATACTCTTAACAACATACTAGGCGGGAGGATATCGCTACTATTATTTTAATATAGTTAAGATTACTACTATTATTATTGTTCCATTAGAGTCTAGTGAGCTCGAGGCTATGTAAGACTTTGGCCGAGGCCGTTCT